TAATAGTTAAGGCCATCAGAGTAAAAAGAAAAGAAAGCCAAGATAGAAGCTTGGTAGACATCAACATTTTGAGGAGAAAGAAGAACAACAGAGAAGAAATATTGACAGAAGTAGAAAGGGACAAGAATATTTCAAGAATATTTAAGAAGTGTCAAGTACAATTTAAAAAAAAAAAAGCCCATTGGATTTGGCAATGAGTTACTCACTGGTGAGCAGTTTCAGTGAAGTGGTGGGGGTAGATGCCTAAGTAGGGGGGGGATTGAAAAGTAACTGGGAGGTGAGGAAATGGAAAATGTCTGCAAGGTAAACAGTTCTTCAAATTCCAGTTCCAACCCATTCCAGCTGAGTAATATTGGATGAGTCACTTAATTTCCTCAGTACCCAGTTCCTTTATCTATAAAATGGAGCTAGTAGTACCCTCCTCATAGAGTTGTTTTCAGGATTAAGTATGTAAATCCATGTAAAGTATTTACAACAATGCCTGGTATATAATAAGCACTCAATGAATGCTATCATCATTATCATTAGTATCATCAGCTTCAAGGAGCTTGGCCCTGAAGGCAGAGAGTGGCAGTAGGTAGACGGGGATATAGAGTTATGGAAATGTATTTTTTCTCCTTACGATTTAAAGTCCTGTTCTTTATGAAAACTTGTTCTTTATCTCTATTCTGCACTATAATTTTAATTATGTACCCATATTTATATTGCTATGCTGAAGTTTCTTAATCTCTTATTTCTTCCCAAGCCCACAATACTTAATGTTGTCTTCCTGTACTCCCTAGCTAAACTAGATAAATATTTCTGCAAATACTTCTTTCCTACTTGTTTGCTTTTTAAGAGAAACACCCATAGACAGAGTTCACTCGATTTTTAAAAGTTTTTATTACTCAGGACAAAACTGCCCTCCTCCATTAGTGCAAATGATAGCGTATATTATTTGGTATATGAAAGCTTCTACATTACAAGGGCATTTTTAAATGGGGTAAAAATCCAAGATATATTTCTGTAATTAATCTTGCCAAGGAATTACAGTTATTTCACAAACAAATGAAAAGTGACAGAACATACAGCAAGATTTTAGGGCTTTGCAGTATTAATGGATTTTTTCCATATTTATGCCATAATTCTGAGAATAATTGGCTTAATACCATTTTAAGATACCTTTCAATTTTCATATATTAGATAATAAAGCAGGATCTTCGTGATTTTTTAAATCAATTAGAAAAAAAAATGGCTTGCAATGTTGTATACTTTTGTTTCCATTTTCAGATTATTTAGTACTTGACAATGTTTTTTTTTTTTTTTTCTTCTTTTTGTCTTTTTTACTGACCGGTAACGGGATCACAACCCTCGGTGTCACGCCCGTACCGGGGACCGGCAACAGGATTGCAACCCTCGGTGTTGCGCCCGCACCGCATAACTTCGTATAGCATACATTATACGAAGTTATACGAACCCACGGCGGGAGTGCCGCCGCGCTCCCAAGCGGCGCACCCTCCAGTGCGCCACCGGGCCGGCCCTTGACAATGTTTTTGAATTTATTAATTTGGTTTTTATTTTAACAAAATTACAAAATCACGTAGTTTAGAGTCCCCAACCACCTACCCATTTCCCACGTGGATTAGCAGGGAAGGAGCCAGGAAAATAACTATATAGACTTCTCTCATCCTGCCCTCTGTCTTTCTGGTGTTTGTCCCTTTAGCACATTCAGACATAGAGGACAAAGGAGTCTGGTTGATGTCGTTTATAAAGACCAGGCTCCTGGGCCACAGAGAAGGGTTGAGTAGCTCTGTTTGACAAACAAAATATCAAGCCCAGTAGTTTTGATTTCCGTGAACACTTTTTAGTTCCCTGTATGTTCTTTTTACATCCTATATATATATAGCATCCTATTCCTATATGGTAGATGTAATTTCTTTTTTAAATCTCTTTCAGAATTTCTTCTCTTCTTGCAGCATAGGCTGTTTTGTTCAGGTTGTGTTTTTTTCTGTTCATTTTGTCTCTGTCTTTCCTGTTAAGAGACTTTCTTCATGTATCTGCTTATATTTAACCGCGAGACACTAATGTTGATTAGAAGCCTTGTACATGTGGGCCAGCCCATGGCTCACTTGGGAGAGTGTGGTGCTGATAAACACCACACTCAAGGGTTAAGTAATAACACCAAGGCCAAAGGTTCGGATCCCTATATAGGGATGGCCGGTTAGCTCACTTGGGAGAGCGTGGTGCTGACAACACCAAGTCAAGGGTTAGGATCCCCTAACCAGTCATCTTTAAAAAAAAAAAAAAAAGCTTTGTACATGTGGAAGATACTTATCATTCAGATTTTTACTGTACATGGAGCTGGCTGTCCCATTTTGTTGGGAACCCTCATATCCATCTCATTAAATCTTTTCTTTGAGCCTGGTTAGATTCTCCAGACAATATTCCCCCCACATCTTCTTGAAGAATATATGCCTGGTTCCAGCATTGTGAAGAGCCAGATTAGAAAAAGTAGGCTGGAATCTCAGAATTCAGTAGGTCTTCTAATATTTGCCCTTAAGTCAGACAGTCCAGAGATCCTTCTGTTCTACCTTGTCAGTAGAATAAACCTCAGTCCTCTGCAGAAGTCAGCAAGAGGAGCTGAGGGTCTGACTATTAAACAGTTTTCAGTCAATCCTTCTGCCTTTTGTTTCTCCTTTACTTCAAAACCAATTTAAGATTCCTACTCTTGGCTTTCACATTATCAGCATAAGGTTCAGATTTCTTCAATATGCTAAATCGGTTAACATTCGTCTGTCCCTGACCACTTATTTTTGTCTCTCTCTGGTTCTTTGTCCTTGTGAGATAATTCCCTTACTTTTTTTTTTCTAAGTAGGTTTTTTGGAGGGAGCATAGGCTAATACATACACTCAAACTGCCATCTGTAACTAGGAGTTTGTATATAATTTCATGAGAAAAGAAAAATAGATTTTTTTTAAAATGTTGTTTCTTGATTCCTGATCACATATCAGTGGTCTCAGTGACAGAAACAACCAAGTGCCTTGAAGCACAGCATATTCCTGAAGGGTCCAGGACATTAGTATATCTATCTACCTACCCTTTTGGGGAGTTCCAGAAACCATGGCTGATGACTTCTAGCAAGTCTTGAGGCTGAGGGATATTGGGAGGGAAGCAGCAGTAAAAAATTCAGTGTTTTTTTCCATTGCTTCTTATTTTTATTATTATTTACTGATTTTTTTTTTAAATTCACTTATTTTTAAGTGTACAGGTTAACTACTGCTCTTCTTAATAGGGATGCCTCAGGTTGCCTGACAAGTACCTCTAGGTCTATCCTTTGCCAAATAACTCTCATACTGCCTGTGTTGTGACCGTACCAATAAATTGCAGCCCTCCTGGATTTCCTAGGAAACTCCCCTAAAAACACCTACACGTATTCTTTATATTGTAATTTATTAAGTCACCTAAGGGTTCCTAATGAAAAAATAAATAAAATGGCCTAAGTTATCATAGTGAAACCTATGATAGAATACATACTCTTCTCTCATTTGTGTGTCCATTTACATGTGTATAAGCATACATACATGTACACATCACACACAAATACATATTTAGTTTTTAAATTGTATTTGATTTTGCAGTTCCTTTTCTTGTATTGATGGAGAAATCGATAAAACCAAATCGATTGGTCCTAAAACAAATTCATTTTATTCACTGAGGCAACTACAAGTTGACTCTCCATTACATTCTCCATAGCAGTTTTTCCTAACTGTCCTCAAGCCTTTATCTAAATTTTCAATTCACAGGGCCAGCTCATGGCTCACTTGGGAGCGCATGGTGCTGACAACACCAAGTCAAAGGTTAAGATCCCCTTACCAGTCACCTTTTAAAAAGATTATAATAATAAAATAAAATAAAAAATAAATTTTTAATTCACCCATCAGTCCCTATCATTCCATAGAAGTGACCACATTTACTAATTTTCAAAGAAAATCAGAACCATGCAAAATGGGCTATCTTGCCTTTGTCTTTTTTCTTCTCCAATTTTCTCTCTATTTTAAACCATTATCTTTCTTTTCTTCCTTTGTTAGAGGAGTAATTATCCTTTCTTGCTAAGGCTAAGCCCTCTGCCCTATACAGAATAAGCGGAAAGAATAGCATTTACAAAGTCCCTGAAACTTGAAAGAGAAAAGTTGTTGGCAAAATATAGATTTTTCCTTTGTGGACAAGTCGGCTTTGGAGTTAAATGGGTCTGTTTTGAATGCCACTTCTGCCACTTCCTAACTAAATGACTTTGAGTTGACTTCTCTCCTTGTGCTTCATTTTCCTTATCTACATGTAGAGTGAGGAAAATGCCAGCTATCTTGTACGGTTGTTGTGAGATTAAATAGCATGTGGTAAGCTCTCAATACATGATGGCTGGGCTGGCCAGTTAGCTCAGTTGATTAGAGCATGATATTGTAACACCAAGGCCAAGGGTTCAGACCTCCATACTGGCAAGCTACAAAACACACACACACACATAAAATAAGTGGTAGCTGTTGCTGTTGGAATGGCTGGAGCAAAACTATGACAACAGTTCATCTTAGAATAAATATTTGTTTATACCCAGAATAAATATTTGTTCATATTTCTGTCTCTCTCTTGCACTAACTATATACGTAAGCCCTACAAGGTTAGGACCTCTGTCCTTTGCATCTTTGTATTTTAAACATCTAACAGACACCCAGCATGTAAAATAAATGTGTGTTGTGTGTTGAATAAATGAACAGTGAAGCCTCAATTTATATTAATTGAATTGATAAGTAAATTCACTTTCTTTCAGTTTCCTGTGGATAATTAAAACCTTCCAAAGATTTTGGATCACGTTGTTAGGAATTTGTTTTCTTCCTGTTCCACCGTTCTTACAAATACTGGTTTTTAATGTATTGCTTTTGCATTATAGACTTGAGTGAAAGTGTGTGAGTGCTTTTAGCATGTCATCAATAATAGTTAATTAATTGGCTCTTTTTTTTCCCCTTCAGGGAGGTGGTGCAAGCAAACTGTGTTCATTGGAGGAAGAAGTTCTCATTTATGTGCAAAATGAGTGCAAGTGCCACTACGGGCATCCTAGATCCTTGTATCTACAGAGTGTCTGTGAGGAAGGTATAAAAATAACCTATTACTTCTCTTCTTTCAGAAACCATAATTAGTTCCATAGTCACTGACTCACTTTATTTAGCTCTGCTTTATCTTTATCATTAGAACTATTATAACATGTGATTTCACTTCACACTTGAAGCAATAATTTAAATAGCTATGGCAAATATATTGAAGAATCTGAATTTATAAATTAAAATATTATTTACAAACCCTTCTTCTCATTATCACTATACATATAAGTATTAATCTTATTCATATTAGTTTGGGGACTGTATATGTCTATATCCTGCCATTCATTAAGTTCCTATTTTTTTATTAGGCATTATTCTGGGAACTTTACATGTATTTTGTCTAACAACAACCCCGAAATTAGGTGTTATTTTCTTCATTTTCAGTAAAACCGAAACTCAAAGAGGTTAAGCTACTTGCCCAAATTTACATAGCTAATAAATGGCAAAGTAGGGACTCAAACACAAGTCTTTCTGATTCCAAGTCCAAGTTTTCTATATATTTCCTTTCCACATATTAGGTTGAGGCATATTACCAATAATCTACAAAAATGGCAATTTCATATGATTCAACTTGAGATGTATAAAAGGATGTATATGTTTTACTTTGTGTTTTATATTTCATATGCATTTTTAAACTACCAAATTAATACATAATGGTCAAAATTAAATAGAGAAGAAGGATTTAGAATGAAAAGCAAGAGACCCTGGGCTTGCTCTTTTCCATTCTAGTCCTGCATTCTACTCTATCAGCTAAAAAAGTTATATTTTTAGTTTTCTTATTCTGCTTTTTGAATGAACTGGTAGCACTATGATGTGTATGGCTATATTTTAAACTCTCATATTAATCTACTCAGTTAAAATATAACACAAATACATATGTACATAAAATGATTTTACAGGTTTTAAGCCTTTATGAAAACAGACCTCTAAAATATTCATAATTGAAGCAGCAATGATTGAGCAGAGACTTGTGTAAAGGAAGTATGGTACAGTGAAAGTATACATGGTATTATAACAGCCTGGGTTTGAATCCCAGATATGCCACTTATTAACTGTGATTCCTTAGGCAATTCTCCTGACTTTTTTGAATCTGACTTCTCATCCAAATAAAGGTATAATACTTGCTTCCTTATGGAATTATAGGGATTAACTGACATATAAGTAAAGCACCCTACCTTCTTCCATTTCTGCTTTGATTGCTGCTACTTTCATTGAAACCTTTTCTAAATGGAGTTCTAATCATGATTTTTAAAAGACCTGTCAGTCTTTGAACTTTAAAATAAAACATATAACCAGTTTAGAATAAAGTATAACTACAAATTAAAGAAACTCAGAATCTACTTTTAAAAAACCCCAAAAACTAATAATGCTATTTGAGGTAGGACTTTTTCGTCTGAGATAAACCAGTTCCCCAGCTTATGAGGTTTTGGTGTATTAGTTAGGGCATATATGATAAGCTGCTAAAACAGAGACCCAAATAGACAATGGCTTAAACAAGATAGAAGGATATGTCTGTCTTGGGTAACAGCCAAGGGATCCAGGGCTAGCAGAGCAGTCTGTCATCTTCATTGTATGGTGTCCATCTTTAGATCCAAGGGAGCTGCTCCAGTCTTATTATCTCCCAAACAGTGAGAAAGGAGAAAAAGCCAGAGAAGAACAAACGCATTCCTTTGTAGGGCATGACTCAAAAGTGGTGCACGTGACTTTTTCTCACATCCCACTGGTTAGAACTTAGTCCCGTGGCCTCACCAAACTGGAAGAAAGGCTGTAAATGAATGTTGTCTCCAGCTGGGTGGACAACAGATTCTAACATTAAAGAAGGGGAGAATGGATACTGGTGAACCACTAACAGTCTGTACCATACTTGGCTAGGTGGAGGTATTTACTTAGCTTACTCTACCTTATCTTTCCTAAGTATTGTATAAAGGAAAAATTAGTAAACTCAACTATGTAGACATTTTCTGCATTGCAAAAAATTCCATAAGAAAGGTGTAAATAAGGGGAAGATATTTGCAAACCATGTCAAAGGACAATTTCCTTAGTATAGAAAGAGTGCCTTCAAACAAATCAATAAGAAAAAGATCAACAAACCTTTAGAAAAATATGCAAGGGACAGAATATGCATTTCACAAAAAAGAACGTATAAATAACTTATAAATATATAAAAATATACTCAGTCTCACTCATATAAATTAAAACTACAAATAAAGTACCATTTTTTACCTATGAAGTTTACAAAGATCAAAAAGTTTAATAATGTATTCTGCTGCCTCAGACGCAGGGAAGAAATCAGTCACCAGGCAACAAATATGTGGTGCCTACAATGTGCCAGGTACTGTTCTAAGTTCTGGAAGGACAGTGGTGAATTGGAATGAGTTCCTGCCTCTAAGAACTTTACTTTCTGGTTGAAATTGGGGGAAGAGTGATAGAAAAGACAGACAGTAGCATGTAATTAAATAAGATTATTTCAGATGGTGATAACTATTATACATAAAATACAATGAGGTAATAGAGAATAACTTGGTGAAAGGAGATTATTTTAGAAAATTGGGGGAGGAGACAGTGAAGACTTCTCTGAAAGGTAACATTTGAAGAAGAGGCACCCAAATGAAGATCTAGGGAAAGACCATTCAAAAAGAATAGGACCTCAAAAGTGAAAAGAGCTGGTGTGAATTTCCTAGAGCTGCTATAACAAAATACAACAAACTGGGTAGCTTATAACAACAGAAATTTATTTTCTCAGTTCTAGAGGTCAAAAGTCCAAAATCAAGATGTCAGCAGGGCCATGCCCTCTCTGGAGGTGCTAAGGAAGAAACTGTTCCATGCTTCTCTCCTCGCTTCTATTAGCCTCAGGCTTGTAGATATATGACTCTAGTTACATGACTGCCTTCTCCCTTTGTGTCTTCATATCATTTTCCATCTGTGCATGTTTGTCTCTTTGTCTAAATTGCCCCTTTTTATATGACAGCAGTCATATTGGATTAGGACCTCACTTTAACTTGATTACCTATGTAAAGACCCTATTTCCAAATAAGGTCACATTCTGAGGCACTGGAGGTTAGGACTTAAACATATCTTTTTTGTAGTGGTGGGGGGAGGAGACACAATTGAAGCCATAACATGCCCTAAAAGTATAATAAACCTGTGAATTTATGTTTCTGAAATTAATGGACTAGCTTGTTGCAGACCATCCCTCTCTCTGAGGACAGCCAGAAAAGCTAGACAAAATATTGAAAACAGCGCTTGAAGGCATCAGAAGCCACCAAGATAGTAAGGACTTGGGGGACTTAGAATCCATATGGATGGGAAGCATAAAGAGGTGAGACTGACATTTGGCATTGCTTTTATCCTCAAAGCATTTGCTAATTTGTAAGCAGTGGCTAAGAAAGAACAGAAAGGAATGGCTGAGCAGCTAAGAAGCTGAACTGAGACTGCAGCAATCTTATGGGTCTCAAGATACAAAAAGTAGAGTACAGGGCCCACCATGGAGGAAGGGCCTTGGCAGACACCCTAGACTTTCAGTTAGGACTCCTAAGAGTTTCAGCCTAGGAGGAGGAGTGTAATACATATAGATCTGCCCTTACAAAGACTGAAATCCAGCTTGCAATCAGCTCAATCCCTTTTTGGATGGTTATCTGCCTCTACCTTACTACTTGCCAGAAGCAAATATGTGTCTTCTCTGACATAACATCACTCTGAACCTCAAATTATTTCTTCAAGTTTTCATACACACTTACCAAGCATACCAAGAGACATGACTAGATGACCAAAAAGCAAAAGGAAAAATAGATGATAGAAGTAGACCCATGGAAGAAACAGATTGTGGAAAGATCAAAGACAAACTTTTACAATAACTGTAATTAGTAAATAAGATGGAGAATTTCATCAGAGAACTAGAAGAAAAAGAAGCAAATTAAATTCTAAAGCTAAATTACTTAATTCATTTAGAATTAAATTTAAATGAAAATACATTAATTAAAATATAAAGCTAAATAGATTTTTAAAACTTCAACAGATGAATTTAACAGCAGGTTCTCAAGTGAAGACAGCATTGGTAAATTGAAAAATAAGACAGAGGAAAATATTCAGACTATATAACAAAGAAGAAAAGGATGGAATATATAGAAAAGAGTATAAGACATGTTGAAAACAATATAAAGGTCTGACATATATATGTGTGTGTGTGTGTGTATATATATATATATGTGTGTATATATGTATGTGTGTGTGTGTGTGTGTGTGTGTATATATATATATATATATATATATATATATATATATATATA